ACCAAAGTTTAATTGGTTTGGTTAATCGGATAATCGGATTAACCAAATAACATAACATGAAAACAAACACAAACTATCATTTTATATAAGCAATAATAATAAGACTAACAATCCATAATTATAACCAAATAACATTACATGAAAACAAACACAAACTATCATTTTATATAAGCAATAATAATAAGACTAACAATCCATAATTATAATCATCATTCGAGTTAATACCTCATTCATCATCTTTGCACCTAATATAGGTAGCTTACAACAAACCCCTAAGCATAAATACATACCAATACCTAGGGCTGGCAGACGGTTTTCCGGTTAGCAGTTAACCGGACGGTTTCAACCGAACCGACCGGTTTTCGGCTAACCGAAAAACCGAAAATGAAAAGCGCGGTCGGTTGGCGGTAGAGGAAATCAGGGGTCCGGTTAGCCGACTAACCGGGGTCGGAAACCGGCGGTTAACCGGCTAACCGACCCCTTCCTTTCCCCTTAAACGACGCCGCCCCACTCGAACCCTAGCAGCCATCAGGTCGGCCTCCAACCTCGCAGCTTCCTCCCAAATTCCCAATTCCAAAATTAGTCGCAGGCACTTGCAGCCTCCACCCTTCTCGCCTTCCCCGACCAGCTCTCTACCATCGACTCCCTCCTCCTCCAGTCCTCCCAAATCCATCGCCGCTCCAGCCCTCCACCTCCACCTCGTCGCCCCGCCCACCACCGCCAAGAAGACGGCAGTCAGCGCAGAGCCTCCGACGCCCTCCCCCTCCCTCCCCGTCCAGTCCTTCCTCCTCCGCCCCGACGACGACGTCGCTGTTGAAGGCGGATTCGCCGCCGCCTCCCCCCAATCCCTAAACTGCAAGCGCGCCGCCGCCTCCCCCCAATCCCTAAACTGCAAGCGCACCGCCGCCATCCGCCGCGAGGCCCTCCAAAGGTCGTCAAATCCGCGTAAAAGAGAGAGGAGAGAAGAAGAAGAAGAAGTTTCTTTCTGCGTAAAAGAGAGAGGAGAGGAGAGAGAGGAGAGAAGAGGAAGAAGATAAAGAATGTGTGGCTTTGATTTTTTTTCCTGTATTTCTTTCAAATTTTTTATTTTATTTTTTAATCTCTTGGTAGAAGAGGTCGGTTTTGGGCGGTTGTCGGTCGGTTAGGCCATTGAACCGAACTGCCCATCAATCTGTCGGTTGCCCCGGTTAAACCGCGCCTGAACCGAAAACCGCCCGGTCGGTTTGCGGCTAACCGGGGCTCTGGGGTCGGTCGGTGGACGGCAGCTTCTGGTCAGGTCTCGGTTTAACCGAAAACCGAGAATTCGGTTTTCGGTTAAACCGAAACCGACCGGTTGCCAGCCCTACCAATACCCCTAATCAGGAAGTTAAAACTCTCCTACAAAACACTTAAACTATACATAGTTTGAGGTGATTGTCATGGTATTGTACGTAATCCTAAAGTCTAGAAGTTGTCCAAAATGTTTTGGATTAGTAAATATAGGCAGACCCATTTAATTTTTGATCCATAATGTTTTGGTTTGTTGTGCACATGGAAATAAAATAGGGAATCACGAAAGTTTGGTTTGGTTGGTTGCATGTAAGTATAGATAATTTTGTATATTAGGTATATCATTAATTGGTTAATTGGTTTTATTGGTTAGCAGTGTTGAAACCAAACCACCTAAACCAAATTAGCTAAATTGTTTAACCAAACCAAACCAAATTAACCGAATGCTACTGGTTAATATGGGTACCACAGTAACCAATCCGTTTGAACACCCCTGCGGGTGGTGGTGGTTAATTGGAAGAGGGTAATCGAATGAGATCTCACCAATCTGTGTTGCGGCCGATGGAATTGGGTATTCAGAAGAGGAGGCTCCTTTGTTTAGAATTTTCAGCGCCGGCGGAGATAGTTAGAAGGAAGCAAAAATAAAAAAAAGTAACAAATACTAAAAAATAAAAATGGAGAGAGAGAGGGGGGAAGGAGAAGGAAGTCATGGAGTACTCTCATGCTCATGCATGTTGACACATGTTATGTCTTCTCCACGTGTAAAGAGAAGGCCTTTGTAATATATATTTATATTATATAATATTGGCAGAATAAAGTCCTACTTAATATAAAATCTTTTTTCATCTAATTATAAACGTTTATGTGAAATGTTTTTGAATCTAATAAGATTAATACAGAAATATTTTACATGTATAATCATGATATATTAATCTTTTTGGTTGATTGTATCCATACAACACAGTACATATATCTATGTTTATTCACAGAACACACCAAGAATATTCAACATTATTAGAATATTCAAATCACTTAGTTAGTACATTCATTAGGCAATATGTGTATGAAACAATTAAAGTCAGTTCTTTCACTTTGATTATCATTTCATTGTTACTTGAATTTTATATGTGTTTGGTCCAGTTCAGTCTTTCACCAAATATGTATCAATGGTGATATGAACAAACAAGATGTCATTTCTAAGGATTCGTTCACTTTGGCACAATTACAATTACATTTCGTACTTCCAAGACCGTATTCCAATCACTAAGTTGTTTTATCATTACCAGGGAAGTATTTCGTAGCCACATCCCTAACATCAAAATTATTTTTTAATTTGAATGCTCCTTTGTTGCATCCTTTGCTCACCCCGTAAGTAATTGTTCTTATGCAAATAATATATATACATACATGCTCATGAATACAACTAGATAACATCGCTATATATCATTGTGTATTGTAGACTATGGAAAATGAAAACCATCATTAAAGAGGACTCCTATGAAGTTGCTAAACAACGTGCAAACAATTGTTCAATTGCTGACATCACTTCATTTCGATTATCTCTTTTAGCCATAGTAAGAGATTTGCAATTCTACATTTTTTGTATCAACCTCTCTTCAATATAATTTTATATTTATACTTCATCATCATTTGATTTTATTTCATTTTAATTACAAAATATTTTATTATAGGGAAATTACTACATTGTTGGTGGTCATATATATGATACAAGAGTCACTTGGGAATGCACCCGTACTCAATACATTGTTAACCTCACTATCAATGACAACTTTGCGACATGTCGATATATTTCAAATCATGCAACGTTAGATCCATTGCCCACGTTGTGATCAAGAAGGATAATTCCTACTGGGATAAGCACTATGAAAAAATATTGAACTCTATCAGAGACCAATCATTTTATTTCATCCTTAAAGTTGATTATGTATGTATTATAGGAAGCAAGTCTAATATTCAACTATATGGTCTACTGCATTGATGAAAAACAATTACTTATATTCATTCCTTTATTTCCACTGAAAAAATTAAAGTTATTTCTTACATCGTACTTTTCATCTTTTTATTATATTGTAAGCGAATTATATACAATCCAACCATTTGCATATCTAAATACAAAACACACATTTCCGAGCATTTATCACATCCATTATTAAAATTCACATTCTCAACCTACATTCTCAGACTAGATTCTCCCGGCCAACGGGTCGGGGCCCTGTGCTAGTTTAATATAGCTATGATTCACGTAATTCTTTTTCTTGTGTCCAATTTTAATAGAATAACATATTATGGATGCGATCATTTGTAACCTTTTTAGCCTATGTCAACAAATGTCGTGAAAAAACTAGACATTATTTGAGGTAAATCAAATTTTATTGAAATTAAAACAACATTTGTCTCACCAAAAAAAAAAAATCTCACAAAAAAAAAAACAACATTTGTGAATTTTGATACCTTTCACCTCGGTTTATTCGTTTGAAGTTTTAATTAGTTATAAAATATTTTTATGGTGTAAAATAATTACATATTTTGTGTTGGGTTGGATTTTTACTTAAAAATATCGGCAACCCAACCCAACCCAATTAGAAACAAACTGTAGGGTTTAAATTTTTTTTGGGTGGATTTGATTTAATATTTTTCAAACCGTAATGCATTGATCGGGTAATTAAAATGTCTAAACCCGGACCATCTCACCCATGTACACCGCTATATCCTACTGCGAAGCTCCTTCCCTCCTCTTTCTTCCTTCTTTCTTGCTCCCCCACTTCTTTGTGCATTTCTTTCCATTTGTTTTATCTGTCCCTGTATGAAGATATTTATTTCTTTTCATTTGATTTCATGTATTGTGCTTAGCTTGATAACAGTATTTGGATATATCGAATATCGTATCGAATTTGTATATATTTGGTATTATCGAATATATATATTATTTTTTGGGATTGGGATTGGGATTGGTATTGAGATTGAATTTCAATTGTTATTTGGGATTAGGGTACGGGATTGAGATCAGTATATACCGAAATACCGTTCAATAACGAAATATAAGCTAGTGTGTATTTTATTCTCTCAGCTAGACTTTCTCATTCACTGCTACACGACCCTCAACCACCAAGAGTGTAATTTAATTATACATAGATCATTCCATCACTATTTCACGACTTAGAAGTTCCCATCCAACTCAAATTTGACTGTACAATTTAAGTTACTCTCGTCTCTCATCTAATCTCTTGTTATTTTCATAACACCAAAAATCAAACACTGTTATTAGTCGTCTCTCAACCTCCAATTCTTCAAATTAAAGATTACCAATGACAAGAACCTGAGATGTCACCTATCCTCCATTCTCCTAATCCATATCCTAGCTCTAGGCAAATTCAAGACTCTTTGCTTAGTCTTTTCCCTAAATTAAACAATAAAATCTAATTTATATATTTAATTATTAATTATAAAGGTAATTAATTTCGTATTCGATAATACCGATTGGGACACCGAATTGCCAATAGGGATACCGAAATATTTAGGGATTGGGATATCGAAATAATTATTGAGGGATTGAGATTGAGATTTATTTTAGGGTGTAATTCGGTATTCGGAATTTCGATATTTGGTATTGGGATACCGATACCGTACCGATTTCCACCCCTAATTGTGCTTTATCTTTCCTAAAAAGAATTGATTATAGCAAATACATTTTCATGCCTTGATGAATAAATAGTCGAATAAGCATCATTCTCCTATTGTCTTTCGATCAATCTGATGTATGTAGTAACTTCTTATAGCACTTAATAAATTACACGTTGACTTCGTGGTACTAACAAAAAATAAACTTATTTCCCTAAAAAGAAAATTTTATCACATTATTTCTCTCTTCATAGTAAAAGAAGAGAGAACACCATAAAAAGTTTAAGCACAACTCGCAGGACTCAGAGATTTAAGAAACTTCCGATTGTCCCAGAAGTCTTGTGCTCTGGAACTTGTCAGTAAACCCCTATATAGATTTTCTAGCTCATTCTTTAAATACAGGATGAGTTATTAAGAATCCCCACGCGACAACTAAGATTCCCCAGAAGTAATTATCTGTATACTGGCTTCCTTGTGCTGCTCACCATTACCTGAAACACTCTGTGCTTTGGTCCGAGCTTCTTGATCACCTTCTTTCCCCCAAAGCAGCAAATATAAGCCAACTATCACAACCACGGCACCTATTATGCTGAAACCAGCCACAAATGAACTGTCAGAACACAATCGACACAGAGCCGGAGACAAATGAGACATAATGCATGTGAAGACCAAATTTACCTTCCCAGGTGGAGCTCTTCCCCCATGATGAAGTAAGCTAGAATCGCCACCAGAATCGCTGAAAGAGGGTTGAAGGTGGTAACAAAGACGGGCCCTTTCTCTTCTGTGCACCACAGCTGAATGAATACCACCAATCCTGACACTACCACTCCCTGCAACAACAACAACAACAGACAAAGATCATCTATCAGAATTGCTTAAAAAGTTCTGAAATCAGGAATTTTTCGCACTTGTTAGTGTTTGTCAGCTCTGCTTACACCATAGATGGTAGACCATAGATCAACATTGAAACCAATCGCCCAAGCAGACTTGTTATGTTCTATAATGGCTGTGAAGACTGCTGACTGCGCAGCGCCCAATGCACTCATCCAAGCTGTGAGGGACAGCTGAGCAGGATATCTCTTGAGTGTTAGTGCCTGCACTTGCCAAATTGGTAAAAGGGAACAGCTTGGATTCAGTATTGGTTTCTTATTATGCACTCAGCTTTGCTAAAAAAAAAGAACACAGATTGAGCTAGGCTAGTTTAGAAAACCTGCATAATGTACCAAAACGACCATAAAATGCAGCTCGCCACAGTGAGAACTGAACCCTTGACCCAGCTTTCGTGATTGTTGCTCGCCTTCCCTTGTATCTGAACCAGAGGATTCCACAGCTGTTCGATTATGGGACCTCTGTACAGTGTCATGGTCATTACACCGGACAAAGAAACCAAGGTCCCTGCAACTTTGGCTATTCCTCGAGGATTTCGAATATCAAGTGCCTCCAACCTGACAGAGAGGAAAGGGAAGTTGAAAACTTTGAACTGATTGAAAATTACATTATAATAAGTATAAGCCTCAGCTGTTATGGAGAAGAGGAAAGCTGACCTTAGCACAACTGCAGCAACAAATGTGATAGAAGCTACAGTATTCACCATTGAAGCAACGAAAGTTGGAGATGTGTATTTCAGGCTCAGAAAGTACATGTTCAAGGCAAAACCCACCCTGCAATCAAACATAAACAAAGAGATGCGCAATGTCAATTTATATTGAGGTTATAATCCTGTCTTCTCTGATGCATATTTTTCATTTTGGCGAGGCCTTACCCGACTAGAGACAGAAGGAAGATCTCCAGGAAGAGGGCTAGAGTCAGTTTAGGCCTTTGCTTTCTGCAGGACACCCAACTGATCATCAGAATATGTACAGAGAAAACACAAAGACGAACTATAGGTTTCCATCACCAACTAGTCCGTACCTTTCAAGGAAATATGCAAAGGGGAACATGACCACAGCAGCCACGACGTGACGGTACGTTACATAGACATTCGGATTCATGCCATGGTTGAAGGAAGCCTCAGTGATGAAATAAAGGAAAGTATATAAAATCTGTGTCAGAATCATCAACAGGTGTGGCTTGAACTTTCTGCAAACTTCTCCAAACCCACCACCACTGCCAGCCTTCATCGTTGCCCGATTAATGCTTTCCTCACTACCTCTTGCTTCTACTTATTTTTTGCTCTTCACCTTCTACACACCTAAAGCCTGAAGGAAATGCAAAACAACAAAACTGTACTTATAGAACTTGCAGTGGTGTATTTATAGTTAATAGGGACTTTTATTCTTGTTGCCGTTTAAGCATTGTGTTGCTGCTACAGCATCATGTTCCGCTTTTGAAATTCTCTTATCTTAACCTGTATCCATGAAATTAAATTCGGGTAAGAACATGGGAATATAGACAATGAATTTGGATATTTGCAAATTAGATTATGACTGAAGCAAATGGCTCTCTAGGGTTGGCAAATGACATGCCACATGCTACAGTACTGCAACATTCCTGCAAATATGAACCATATCTTATAGCTCTTCTCACCCAGCTGCTTCTTCTGTTGCAGAAATTAGTTATGTTTCTTTTTCTCAATTTGGGGAGACGGAATTTATACTCTCCTTCCCCAGTGGAGAACCTAGTTGTGTGGTCATGTAAACCAATTTCTAGCCGTAAAATTTAAATGACTTGATGTATTAGGAATAAATTCCTTACTTAGCCAAGGAACAGTGAAGTTGAAGGAGGACAGGTTGGCTGTACACACAGATCATCCCTCCAGCAGGAGTGGCTATTCGGTACGGCCTTTTTTGGTTTTACCCGAAACCGGAATGTATATCGTCAGAGTAGCTTTTGCCATATTATTCCTCAAAATAAAAAGTTAGTTTTTAACTTTTTGACTCTCAAATTTTATTACACCCACCCAAAGTTCCCTCCTAAGTCCCAGTCAAATTTTATTAAGCCCGCCCAAAGTTCCCTCCCAAGTCCCACCGAAATTTCCCTCCCTGCCTTCCTCATTTATTTCATTTATTTATATCTTGTGTTGGGTTGAAGAAACAAATAATAATAAAATCAAATAAACTCTAGCAGCCGTGATTCTCTCCTCTCGTCTCACACTATCACCCTCTGCCTCACCCTTTCAGAACCACCACCGCCGTTCTCTTCCTCCACAATCGTCCGTCCTTCACACACCAAAGGACATCGTCTTCTCCGGTCACGCGTCCGAGCTCCCAGATTCGTCGCTCGACCTTCCTCCCACTACACCGAGAGACACTTCTGGTCTCCTCCATCTTCCAACCATGGAATCCTCCTTCCGGTCGCCAACCATCGCTTGTCGCCTTTTTCTCTCCACATGTCGACATCAACCACCACTTTAACCCCATCTTCCTCTGCCTGTAAACCCAGAAACATGCTCCCTCACAACTTCAAAGGCTCGAATAGATCGAGATGCAGAGGGTAGATCCTGATCGGGGGGTGCTTGCATGATAGGCAGATCCATTGGGGGTGGTTGGATTTGTCTAATTTCGATTCCCTCTTCTCACTTTCTTCTCTTTTGCTGGGGAAATCAAAAAGAATGGAAGGTATGTTTTGTGGGTTGTATTTTTTATTTTCAATATGAAGTTTAATTTTGGGAGATTTGATTTTGATTTCGTTTTGTTCTGTTTTCTTATTTGGGTGTTTAGTTTTCAGCGAGAGGGCAGGTTCTAGAGATGGGGTTTTGGGATTGGAAGAAGATAGGTTTTTTGGCTTCTGGAGATGGGTGAGGGGATGGGTTCTCGGTGGTCGTGGAAGTGAGGAAGAAGAGATTGGAAGAAGATGAAATTTGCATTTTTTGGGTTTGTATTTGGTGTTTCTTTTCTGGTTTGTTATTGTTTCTTGTTCGTTGTAGGCGACGGCTCCAACAGTGGGCATGAGAAGGATGCGTTGTCGGCGCGGCGGAAGTGAGGAAGAAGAGTCTATTGTCATCAACGGCAGTGGCATAAATTATTTCCTGAGTTTGGGGTTTTTCTAGATGACATTGTATTTTCTGGGTTTTGGGAATTTTGTTCTATATGTTACAAGAATATTGATTTTTTCAACTATATGTTATTCAATATATTGATGAATAAATTATATTGGTCACAGTATGCAATTATGACACAATATGTTCGTCCTAATATACAGTTATGACAAAATATGTTCGTCACACATGCATTTATGACAAACAATTGTTCCTCACAATTATGTGATATCAAAATATAATGGTATAATATGACGAACAATTCTGTCAAAATAAGTAAATTATGACAAAAGTAATGACAAAATGTATCGTCATAACATCTCGATTTGTCACAATAGATTACCCAGAACCTCAGTTATTCTGAAAGAGAATGTGGCAACCTTGTTTTAAACTTTTGTCACATTTGACCTATCCTGACAGCGATAAAATGACAAACCTTTGTGACAACACCTTTTGTCATATTATATCTAATATGACAAAATGAGTATCTAATATGACAAAATTTCCTCGTCATAATAGGCCGAATTTGTTGTAGTGCAACCACTGCCGTGATAGATACATTATGTGGCTGAATCAAATTCGACTTACGAAGAAAGAATTTTTTACAAAACTACAACTGTCGTGATATACTATACTGAAGGAGACCAATAAATATATGAATTGTGGTCGTTCAAGGAGATTGTTTCGTCTTAGAAAAATCCTGGCGCCGCCACTATTGAATTATCGAAGCTCTTCCGCAGATAGACGGTTGTCGACGAGAAACAATCAAGCGCAGCAAAAAAAAAAACAAGACAAACCAGGTTCGAAGTTGAGTGTTTGGGACGGAAGACGGAGGATGACCGACGGGAGGGATGGGCCAACCGTTGTTGCTAATGAGAGGATGGGTTACGGTGGGGGATAATGATTAGATGCGACGACAGAGAAGGGTTACGGTCGGGGATGGTTCTGGTAGAGATGGTGCGGGAGGGTTTATGGTTTCTGAACAGAGAGAGAGAAGGAGATGAAACGGTGACGTAAAAAGGGGAAGGGGGAATGAATTGTAAATTATGTTTGGGAACTGCTTCTTTCCCTTTCCAATGTATGTTGGGATCATTAATTATAAATTACTAATTGTTAAATTTCTACCATTATATTAACATAAATGAGAATGGACGGTAAAGATGGGTGTCGAAAATCAGACCCTTTTAGAGGGGTAGTCACGCTAACCGGTCCCTACTTGTGGGTGGTTAGTTTGATCAATAGTTTTTTTCTTTTTTGACAAAAGATAATCATTAGATTGAAACAAATAGATCATTACATCCTGGAATTCAGCCAGGCCTGGAAATCAAATGAACGACATGGAGTCGGGAACAAGGACATGGCCTGTCTAGCTACCAAATGAGCTACCCTATTGTTACGTCGACCTACAAATCGTACAAAGAACCCTAAGTTTGAAGCAAATGAAATGACTCTCTCCTCCAGAATCACCCCTATATGATTATCCCGAATATCCTTCCGGAGAATCTTCTCAATTATCACCTGGGCATCACCTTCAAACCTCATGATAGTGAATCCATTAGCCAAACACCAGCCAATCGCCTCCCGGAGCACCAGAGCTTCAACCATCATTGGATCACTAAGGAACGGGAAATGAACCCCCTTCGTCAGGATGACCGCTCTATCAGAATTAAGGATAACCATCCCCCCTGTCGCATGAGATCCCATCCGCACAGCCCCATCACACATACAAATTGCCGTTTCAGCTCCATCAGACATTATGGTAGGGGCCAGGGGGGAAACAATCTGAACAGTCTGGTCCCGGGGTAAGCTAAGCCACTCCTGCACTTGTTGGTGGAATTGCCGCATCAAGGCAGGGATCCCGAACTGTTTGCCTTCAAAGACCACCCAATTCTGAGAGCGCCAAATCCGCCACAGAACAGCCACTATAGACATCACCAGAGCAGGGTTATGCACCACAGCCAGCAATTTCCTCAGAAAGAGCGGGAACGTATGGCGAGGCAAACCTTCACCCATGTGGGCTAACCCAGAATGATCCCACAATGCACGAGCCACCGGGCACTCCAAGAACATATGTGCCACGGGGTTAGTTTGATCAATACGTGCTCTTGATTTTTTGAAATTTGTTTTAGTTTTATCATAAAATGAACTGAAGATTGCTAACATTTACACTTGTTTATTTTTTACTTTTATGTAGATGGCTCTTGATGAAGTTCTCGACAGCTCACTCACTTGTTTTCGGAGGCTACTAAGGAAACGTTGGTAGCAAAGAAGGAAGGGGTAATTAGCATAAATGGTAACAAACCTTTGCACTTAGTACAAAATGGTCACAAACCTTTAATTTGTAACAATACGGTAACAAAACTTTGAAATTGTATAAATTGGTCACCGCTATTTAATTTATGACCGTTTTGTTTTAAGTGCAAAGGTTTGTTACCGAATCGTTACAAATTAAATGTTTGTCATGTTTTGAGGTCGGGTAGTTTGTTCGTTAAGTATATGACACTAACCACTTGAACGACATATAAGATGTCAGGTCATGTGTTCATTGACATCTTTGCTTTGCCGAATAAGAATGCCCTCAGTTGACCTTTCAATTTCGATACCAAGAAAGTAAGAAAGTAGACAGTTTTTTCAACTAAAAAGCAGTCTGGAACCCGTTTGTGAGCCATTGAATTCTCTCATTGTCATCCTAAACAACATAATATCATTCATATACATTAACAAAACCACCATACAACTAGAGTGAATTGTAACGGTGATTGAGCGTTCAAACTTTTGAACTTAATTTGTACAAAAACGGTCACCAAAAGTCTAATTTGCAACGACACGGTAACAAAAGTTTGAACTGGTATGAAATGGTCACACTGTTTAATTTGTGACCGTTTTGTTCTAAGTAAAAAAGTTTTGTTATCAAATGGTTACAAATTAAAGATTTGTGACTGTTTTGTACTAAGTGCAAAGGTTTGTGACCATTTATGCTAATTACTATATGGGTTGTATACTTGTATTAACAAGGTTCGTAAGTTGTGGAGGGCGTTGCAGCAAGGACCACCACGACGTCCATCTCGAGAGTTATTTCAGTTGCTGGATTTGTATTTTCCGTAGTTGTGTGATACGCACTTAATTATACACTAGTTTTTTGGCCCGCGCTTTGCAGCGGTAAGAAATTAATTATGTCTTGATCATTAAGAAAAAAAAATTTTAAGTGATATTAAAAAAATCATTATCCCAACATAAGCTTTATAATTCTCATGATTGAATTGTTATGTAAGAGAATAGCTCAACTTATAGAACGTTTGTGTATTGCAAATTGATGAGAAATAAGAAATTCCTATTCATAAGTGAATATGCTTAGAAAACCTTAAGGTAGTGCAAATATTAAATGCTAATGATAAAATATGAAATTTGATTAAATTGTTGTGAAAAAATCTAATATTTGTAATTACGTAACAGATATTGAATAATGTTACAAAATATATTTCGTACTATGCGATATAAGGATAAACAATTCATGATCAAAATCGGAGCTTTTTATAATATATTTTATATAACAATTAATTCACGTTAAAAAAAATATATAATTTGATTAAACTATTATGTAAAAAAAGATTTAGAAAACGTTAATGCAATGCAAATATTAAAGAGCTTGAAATTGGGTGGCAAAAGAATTTATTATCTCCAAGGAACAATGCAATGCACTTGCCCTGTTAATTAATTAATTAATCATAATTAATTGTCCTTCGCCTAGTTCTTCCAATGAATTTTGAGAAATTTTCTCAATTGATTAAGCAACTAAATTCACTAATTAACTATCCCCAACAAAATTCACACTAAAGGTATCCAAATCAATTAACAAAAAAGTATAAAAGGTTAGGTTCTAGCATATATATAAGGCTGTAAACATGTAGCCACAATTGATCCCAATTATAGCAGCAGATACTTGCATTGAATACCATTAACAACATATAACCTGCTTAACTTTGTGTTCCTATTTGCAAGATTCCATCTCCCATTTCTTTGCTTTTTAACCAAACATCAGGGAAGATAGACATGTATAAATAAATTTCACTCTTTCTCTCATGGAAGGATTAGAAAGAGAAATTCAAATTGGAATACCAATCTCATGGAAGGTTGAATTAGATTATAATTACTATTTAAAACCATGATTCACCCAACTAAATTCATTGATCTATCAACCGAGAGCTAAGTTAGTCATATTAGAGATTGTTTCCCATACATTTGTCTTAATCACTCTATACTACTTCATAACAAACATTTTCTAATGCAACTAATATATATGTAGAATTCAGTCCCTGCGATCAAAGAACGCCCTAACCAATACCAACCAATTGAAAGCTGATGAAGCATGATAAAAAAAAAAAGAAAGCAATAACAAACCTACACTTAGGGAAAACAAATGTGGGCAAGACCACCAACCACGATTAAAAGAAGTGATGAACGCCCAAAACCTCCTTTGCATCCTTGATGGCTTCAATTATATCCCCTTCTCTTTCCCTCCTCTGTTCTGTAGCTGCTTAATGGTTCCCGGAAGAAGAGTCCCCAATCCCATATGAGGGAAGAAGAAACGCCGGGAAGGAATATATGGAGACAACAATTGGGACGATCGATCATCAACTGATTCTGGAATGTCTAGCTCCGACTGTCGGCTAGTAGCATCCTTGGTTCCCCTTCCCTTACGATCTAGATACCCTATCCGAATCACTGCTAGCCTATCCTATCCTGAGACGGGAAAGAGAAATTAATCAGTTGAGCCTCACCCGAAATCCGATTCACCTAATGCTTGGCCAGCCGCCAAGGGTCCTTCCACTAATTTATGTGGATCTTCTGTCCGCTGTATAGAGCTTAAACCCTGTGCTGATTGAGTATTTTGAGATTTCCAACTTCATGGAGGCCAGGAATATAGATCGGCGGCAGAGAAGGCTCCTCTTCTTCCAGTCGCTTCCCCTTCCAGATCCATCTTCCCCGACAACCCTTTCATTTGTTTTGTTTCGATTCCACGGAAAAGAAATAGGAGAAGAAGAAAAGCGATGGTATTGGTCGCGGTGAAGAATGGGACCGTAGACTTAGAGAGAGAGAAAGGACAGGGGGGAATGAACGGCTGTAAAAAGAAGGAACAGAGTTCAATAGGGGAGGGATGACAGGCACGCGTTTTAGCATAATAATTTAAGGGCTGAGATTAGCTATCATAATCATTGATCAACGGCTTAACTTAGCCAGCCCAAAGTTAGTGAACACGGGCTCAGTTACAACTGGCGGTAGGAAACCAAAATCCCGAAGTGAACAGTACATCCGATTTTTTCTTAAGGAACAGTAACATCGATTTTTGGTAATTTTTTGTTACTTGAGACTTAATAATTCTAACTAATAATGTTTTACCCTTTATATTGTTCGTTTCTTGGCCATTTAGTTCGTACATGTTTACCCTAATATATAGTTATCGCTTTCCATTTTTTATGTAATAAAAATGTATTTATATTTAATAAGTAATATTTTTACATACACAATTTGTCTTTAGTAAGTCACAGTTAGGGTTGAAAGTTTGGTATTGGTGTTTGGGATATAACGAATAACATACCGAATTTGTTTATATTTGGTATTACCGAATACACGTATTATTTAATGGGATTGGGATTGTGATTGAATTTCAATTGTTATTCGGTAGTAGGGATTACGGGATTGAGATCGGTATATTCCGAAATACCAATCAATACCGAAATATAAGCTTGTGAGTATTTTATCCTATCAACTAGACTCTCTCATTCACTACTACGCGACCCTCAACCACCAAGAGTGTCATTTAATTATATATAGATCATTCTATCACTATTTCACTCTAGTATTAGTCGTCTCTCAATCTCAAATTCGTCAAATTAAAGATTACTAATTAAAGAATAAAATCTAATTTATATATTTAATTATTAATTGTAAAGGTAATTAATATTGTATTCGATAATACCGATTGAGATACCGAAATATTTAGAGATTGGGATACCAAAATTATTTAGGGATTGAGATTGGAATTGATTTTAGAGTGTAATTCGGTATTCAGAATTTCGATATTTGATATTAGCATACCGATACCGTACCAATTTTTACCCTAGTGACGATGACTGCTAGAAATCAGTAATCACCATAACGGCATAACCCATCCCAAACAACATCGTCTAATGTAAATGCCAAATTAGTTCTCAACTTCTATTCGTTAACACTTTAGTCCGGCGTGGTTGTACATTGTTGACTTCCTTGAATACTTGTTTGACTAGAATTGCAGTGGATGTAGCTACGGCTGCTGTTCTTCTTGTATCAGCTCTTGACTGATCCTCCATTACATATGAGTCGGATTCAACTGACGTGTAATATCTCCATTCTCAATTTACTTGTTTGCAATGCAATCAAACTGTAGCTTGTCATGATAAAAAAAAAACCCTGTAGCTTGTGTGTTATTAAAAGAAAAAACACTGTAGCTTCTGTATGGAGGCGAAATGCAGGATAAGCTAATTTCACATTTCTATTCAGTTTTGTATCGTGCTTAAGCTAGCTCTACATCTTATGATAACTACGCTATTCCATTACAGAATTTTCCTGTTAAGGACGTTGGCCCTAGTGGCAAAGTCCATCTAAAATTTATCAGCGGAACATATAATACAACAGACTGGCTCATCACTCTCTCATGATTCATGAGTCATGAAGCATCAAATTTCCCAGCAACACAAGTAACCATACATGCATCACTTTCCTAAGCAAACAAGCATCATCATTCTACTTGAGAACAACGCATTCTCAAGTGCAGAGTTTCCAGGCATTCAGTCATATGAGAAATAACTATAACACAGCCGTCACTGTATACTTTAGCTGCTGCTGCTGCTGCTGCAATCACACCCTGAAATGGGTTAGTGCAGAATTCCCGTCGAGACCCTTGGAGTCATAGTACGCTATGAAGTCCTTCACAGTTGTTTCCCTGTACAAAGGAGGATTATCTTCAGACAACAACTCTTTGATCGGTCCATACATCCTTGTTGATGGATAGAGATGCGGAGTGAAGAAGCAAGCAACAGATATCCTCGGACCAACACGATTTGCCAGCACCCTATGCTCCACGCTCTTGAACTTGTCGTTCGACATCAGCTACCAAATTGCATCAACATAGAAATCATGAATTCCATTTTCCATATCAAGATATTTGCCAACGAGATTGCAGCATAAGTGGATAAGGTGGTGTGTGCTGGTTGTGTTTACCTGTAAAAGATCACCAATGTTGATCACTAGCGCACCAGGAACAGGAGGGACATCAATCCAGCGATTCCCGTAATGAATTTGAAGCGCTCCGATTTGGTCCTGAAGTAACACGGTGAGGAAATCGGGGTCGGCGTGTTTAGTAGTTCCCATGGTTAGCTGAGGCTGAGGGCAAGCTGGGTAATAGTGACCCAATACAGCTTGCCCTTTTGCGCAATCCATTTCTTTGAGGTAGTCGGAGTGGAGGCCGAGCGACTCGGATAGCAACTCGAACAGAGTCGTCCCGAGTTGGTGAACTCGATTCGAGTACTCCATGGTCACGTCTCGGCAGATCGGCGGCAGTTCTACCGGATCTAGCGGCTCCGGACCCATTACGCAGAACAGGGTGTCCCTCCAATTCGCGTAATCGGACTGGTAGAGGTCGAAATTGCTCACGTATTTCACCTTCCTCGTCATCTCTCTGCTGTAATACTCCCTCTTTTCCTCCGCCGGAAGCTCGTGGAAGGCGCGGACGCCGGCTAGCATCGCTTCCAATAGCTTGGGTTCCATCCCGTGATTCACTACCTGGAAGAACCCCACTTCTTCCGCCGCTCGCCGAACTCTGGCCACGACGTTTGCGCGGTTGGTCTCAAGGTGGGTGAAGTCGACGACGGGAATTATAAATTGGGCGTTGTTGCTATTGTCGGCGGGAGGAAGATCCTCCGGTGGCCGGATGAAGATTCGGGGCACATCACTGATGCCGGAGTCGACGAGGCCTTTGACGCCGGCTTTGGACTCATCGAAGGATCTTAGTTCTTGGAGGCGGTCGTAATTGTCCGTGGCGGATCTCCCGGCGGCAGAGACCGCTTCCTGCTTCTGCATTTTCTTATCAGTACTTGTGCTTCTTTCACAGTCTCACTCACAAGTGAGAACAAAAAAATTATACTTACCAGTATCCAATGTTCATTACGGCATTAGCCTTTATTGGGTAAATACCCAAAGTAACCTTAGACAAATGAACAAATTAAGTCCAACTTCCAATAACGTAAAAATGTTCCCCAATTTCAAAATAAATTAAAACTTTCCCTCGAAATTTAACTTGAATGTTAAATTTTAATAGGCCACTTATTCAATCCTAAATAACTACATCATAATTTGTTGACATGATGACTACCACGTATCCTCCATATAGCCAAAAAAATGTAATTCAACATTTCCTTTTCAAAACTTCTTTTTGAAAACTTTATTTTTAGAATTAAAAAATTTGTATAAAAGGTTTATTGGGTGATATTGTAGACACGTGTTATCAACGTCGTCAAATTATGCTATGTCACTAGCAAACAACTGAGTTGATCGTTAAGATTGACGCTCAACTCAAACATCAAGCTGATGTTGTTCGTTAGTAAGAACATTAATAAAATTTAGGGCTAAAGTTGTTCATTTGTGCAAATTTCGGCTATACTAAAGTATTAACCATTTTTAGACTTTGATATGGTGACTTGCAAGTCATGAATGACACACCTTGTTGCAACGAATTTGCACCCTTACCAAGGAAATAACGACCGACCACTCCAATATTGCAGCCAACCGGTTGATCATTACATATCAGTGTTGGAATAAGATTCCAAACTAGAAAGGTTCTAGTTTTGCAACAAGACTCTACCGTTACAAAGGGAAATAATGATACACAGGGACAACAAAAAGATTGACTGGTTGGCCAATATTTCGGCTCAGAGTTACAACCTAAATCGCCTCAACTTATCCTTGTCGTCAAGCAGCCACTTTGTATTTCACCTAAAGGTGACAATTCGTATCTAAATCCATGAATTCAATCTATCCACTAAATTATCCAACTAATCAAATTTATTTAAATCAATTTATTTTGATCAAACTCTTATGGATTGGTGGATTCACGGATTGATCCATGGACCCAAATGATAAATTACAGTTTAGTATTTGTACTTTTATATGTTACATTTTGGTACCTAAAAATTCTTTCTTAGACGAAAAAATCTTTGAAAAATTATGTTTTGGTAACTCAAAATTTTCATTATGACATTTTAGTACCTAAACTTTTTAAAACCTATATAATTGTCGAAGACTTGGATGTTATTTGGAACCATGAATCAATTCACCAATCCATTTGATTAAATCCGTTTAATCCACCAATCCACCAATCTATGAATTTAATCCATTTGACACCTCTAGTTGCGTGTGATCTTCTTCTGACACCAATTCGATTATGCGTTCTGGAGAACCAAGGGAACCGAATTTTCGGGCTGACGCTGTTCGCCACCATTCTATGGTGGCTACGAATAGAGTCAATAACCCTATGGTGTATAACCTTACATAACTAAATTTGGACCCTTCATTTTAAGTGGGCCCCAGATCTAAGGGTTGACAAATAAAACTTCTTTATTTTTCCCTAGTTTTTTCTAATTGGCTCTTATCTTTTTCGTTCTGACTTGGATTTCAATTTTTTTTTTTTTTTTGCAAATAGAAAGAGTTCGTAGTGCTCTACAAATGAGATCTATGTCTATATATATTTCGAGATAATTTTTTATATGCCACTCATACCACTCGTAACTCGTTACCAGTTGCATACCATATAGTATCTCCTTTGTTTTTAAGTTGATTTTGAAAAAATTTGCACAGAAGGAACGAGTTCATCATGATCTATTAGATCTACAAATTTTCGGACGAAATATACAGGACAAAAAATTATCACTTCATACCACGCTGGTATAGGAGTGGTATCTTGTGGTACACAATGTAGAAAGTTGAAAAATGACAGTTAATATATTCCTACTATCATGTATTTAACTATTTTACAGTCCGGTATGTTCATACCACCATTATACACTTCCATACCACGTGGTATGCTGTAAGACCAAATAATACCAGTACTAAATGCAAAAAATATTTATTCAAAAAAATATCAAAATGAATGTCATTTTGAAGAACACAATTTATCTGACTTATCCGTGAATTTAAAAAAAATACTAACGTAAAATGAAAGAGATATAACAAGTTAAAATTTTGAAGGGAAAAAAATTAAAGTCTTCCACAAATGATTTTGCAAGGTTGTCAAACCGGTTTATGCCAGTGTGCCGGTTTAGCAAGTGGAATGGTTCAACCGGTGGCACATACCGGTTTGTGTCGGTTCATGCCGGTCAACATTACAAATAAAATTTTAAATACTCATATTTAAACATGACATTTAACGTCAATACCTAAACATTTATACTTGAATCCAACAAATAACATCAATATTTAACTTTTATACTCATTAAATAAATAATAAAAGAATTTTTATCAATTAAATTCTCTAAATTAAAGTCATTTTACTTAGAGATTCGTATATCGATCATGCCGGTCATACCGTTGGTGTCACGCCGGTTTTATGACCGGTATCGGTTGAACCCGGTACAACCGGTGGCACGCCAGCCGGCGTGACAACGATGTGCTGCAGATAATTCATGGTTGTTCACCACAAACTTATGCACTAGAACTGCTTCCCTCTACAGTATACACTTTTGGACTTGTCGTTAGTGATAAGTTTGTTTCCCCTGAAAACTAGGGATGGAAATCGGTACAGTATTAATATACCGATACCAAATATCAAAATCTCGAAAACCGAATTACACACTTAAATCACTCGCAATCCTAATTTAAATTAATTCGGTATCCCAATCTCAACCGTAAATATATCGGTATTGTCGGTATCTGATAACGATGTAATTGCATGATTTTATACCCCTATTTCTTATCCATTTGCGGGGCATAGTCGTGTATTCTTGGCCTATTTTACGCCGGGTTGTGCTATTTTGTCATATTTCAGGTCCCAGGCGTCAAAGGAAAGGCTAGGCACGAGTTTCGGGGCATTCGGAAGTCATTTCATCGAGCTGGAGCCAAAACAAGGGAAGGAGGCCTTCAGAACACGGCCTTGTTCTGTGGCCGTGCTTTTACTGCCGAGAGCTAATTGAGTTTGGCAAATTCAAGCTGCAAACACGGGCTGAAAGCACGGTCGTGTCCACCCAAAGCACGGCCGTGTCCACCCAAAGCACGGCCGTGTTCTCCCAAAAGCACGACCGTGTTTCTCCCAACTGCTGGCCGTGTAATTAACCCTAGCCAAAGCACGGGCGGGCTGAGGCAAAGCACGGTCGTGCCCTCGACCGTGCTTTGGCCAACGATGCCCTTTTAGTCATATTTCAGCCAAATAGAGGGGGATTTGAGTTTTAGAGAGACAGAGCGATTCCTAGAGAGAGAAAGCGACGAACAAGAGTCTCGAAGTGCCCTAGCTTGATCTTCATCACCATTGGAGCTTGGCTTGAGCTTGGAAGAGTTCCGATTAACGTCAAGAAGCTGAATTCCATCCTTCACAGTATGGTTTCCGCATCTGATTCTGCTTTGCTTCTCTCTCCATGGAGTAGTTCTCCCATTCATCTGGGTGTGGGAAACCCTAGATCTGTATGTTAGGATTGATTGTATGAACCAAGTACTGTTTCTATGATTTGATTATATTCGATTGTGGTTTGAATGATTGAATGGCATGAATCCTGATCAAATTCCTGTTGTTTCTGCTTTAACCTAGAATGAGAATATCTACCTAGGTTAATAGAGTATCCTTAATTGAAGGTAGCGAATTGGTGACTTTAGTCGAGGAGCCAATTCGCTATTCTGTATCGAATTCCATTCGGTAGTGGAGGTTTGGTTCGTTAGGGCCTCAATCTGTTTACTCCGGTGGAGGTTAGTCGCCCGCTAGAGACTCAGATTGAGAGGGTCTGAAGACCTTTAGTCGAGACTTTAGACTGTTTGAGAACCTTCCGCAGTATAACTATCATAGAAATTGAACTTGGTAATTACAATCCGGCTTAACTGCAGTCTAGGGGGAACCATATCCGGGTGACCTCTCTTAACCTGAAAAAAACCGTTTAGTTGCTTTGCTTGCTTGTTAGTTTAAACCTTCACTAAAGTTTCATTGCTAGATAATACGAATTCACTGAGTACGAGATGGAGGGCGAAGACATCCCACAACCGGGGAATGCTCGACAGGCTCCCCCGGTGAATCAGCATCCACCACCACCGCCGGGTCCCACCTTGGAGTACTACTACACTCCACGGATTGCCGACATCCGCCCGTTCATCCTCTATCCGACCATCCCAGCGAACAATCTCGAGATCAAGCCATGATGGATTCAACTCATTACATCATCTATCCAGTTCCATGGTTTGAAGGATGAGGAGGCCCAGGCACATCTTTCCCGTTTTCTGCAGCTGACGAACGGGTTCAAGCTGAATGGTGTTCCGGATGACGCAATCCGCCTTCACCTCTTCACCCATTCTCTGGCGGGGAATGCTAAGAGGTGGTTGGAGACCCAGCCCCCATTGTCCATCACTTCTTGGGACGATCTGGCAGACAAGTTCGTGCACAGGTACTATCCGGCATCGAAGACCACAGAGATTCAGCGGGAGATCACTCACTTCCGCCAAGAGCCAGATGAGTCACTTCGTGATGCATGGGAGCGGTACATGGGATACTTCTGGCAGTGTCCCCATCATGGCTTCAGTGATGCTTTCACAATGGGGAACTTCTACAGTGCCCTCACCCCAGATAGCCAGAGGGTGATCGAGTCTCTATGCCCAGGAGGGAATATTCTTACTAAGACTCCACCCGAGCTGAACCAGATGATCACTACCTTGGCTGCCCGCGATCATTCCTGGGGGCAGAGCAGTAGAGGCAGACATTCCCGGGACCGTGGTGTGCATGCTATGGAGGCCAGATCCGGGTTAGAGCAGCAGGTGGCTGAGTTGGTGCAGACATTGAAGCAGCCCAACAGTCTCCTTCCGGGCCGAGGTGTAGCTCCGCCTCCAGTAGCTCAGTGTCAGTGGTGTGAGAGCCCGAACCACCTGGTGGAGGACTGTCAAGCCATGAGGG